TCCGGTTCTGCCATGCCGGATCAGTAATCGACACCTAAAAGCTTGAGACATGTCTGGATACGAAGACCTCCAGATCTTGCGCTCTCCACGCTGCCTTTCTGACAAACATGGAGACATACAGTCGCCATTTTATCATGTATCAGGATGCCATGTGGAACTGCTAGAATATCCAGCGGGAGGTAGAAGACTATGGACCTTCTCTTTGCTGTGCTTTCATGGAGCCGTGTCAACCATCGCAGGCACAATGGTCACTGAGATGCAGGGCCTACCCTCACTCCTTCGCCGGGCAGAAGTGAACGACTGAATTCGCCTCCGTTGTTCGCAGCATCATCACGAACACCCAGAAGCGTCATTACTCAAAATGCCTCACTTTAGGATAATTCTGCTGCACGGACATAGGCAGCTGACTCTCGTGTGTCGCTGCATGGTTCGCTTCTCGAACAACATGTTGGAGCTTTGCAGATGGAATTTGCAGGCCGTCGCTTCCGATTGGGATGACAACTCTCTTCCGGCCCCAATTCGACATTTGCGCTCGTATTTCACGGCGAGCTGGACGAACTCTCGCGCGTGCATTACTGATCCTCACGAACTGTCGGGCGCGAACTTTCAGCTGTGGAAGTTATCTGACAGTCTAGAAGCCATTTGCTTCGCAGCGGCCAACCACGGCCGACTTCACCTCCCCTGGCAAGTGCTAAATCTGATATCACAGATACGACTTCTTGCAAGCTTGTCGTTGTTTCGTGTTCGACTTACTTCGCATAGACAGAAGCACTCTACAGAAACATTCGTTGCTCGCAGTCCGTCGCAATGCGGAGCCCAAGAAGCCTTATTCTATCTTTGCATTGCTTGCGTCGTCAACCCTGCTTGAACGCGGGGCCAGGCACGACTGACGATGGACGCCGAAGGATTGATCGGATGGTATAAGATGGACGTCGTCGTCCTCAGTAGCACCACATCTCAAAGCTCATCCTGGATTGAAGAAGTCGAACAACGACGAAACATTCAAGATGCACGCCAAACAATCGATCGTATGGGCCTTAGCCGCTCTACTTGCGACGGTGAACGCCCTCCCTAACAGTCTTGAATACAACGACAAAGGCGCCATCGATCCAACGAACAATGCACATCTTGACACTCAAGAGCCCGTCAACACAGATCTCGTTGCCCGAGACCCATTCGCAGAAATGGACGAGTACTTTGCCGGAGAAAAACATTTCAAAGGAGAACCACCTTGTCTGCAAATATGGCCCCAAAACCCGGGTCGAGAACCTTCAGACCAGGAAATTGCAAATGCTCGTAAAGAAGCACAATGGAAAAAGTATCCCGTCGGTTCAAAGCCCCCGATCTGTGACTTGCAATATGTCACCTGCCTCAGGTCAGTAGAAAGCAAACCGCACCCTTCAATTCCGAACCCCAACTCTAAACAAACGACTGACGAGTGCTGTTGCATCCAGACTCGGTAAAGGTGTTCCTGCCGGCGGAAGAGGCTTCTGGCAAATCGCAACTTGGGATGGCGGCGATGGCAGTAAGTTGCACAAACAAAAAGAAACCACATGATCCATCACGATAAAGAACCCTCACAACTAACTCTATCGTCCCAACAGCCAAGCTTACTGCCGTGAAATACTGGCAGTCTTCCATCACTTGGGTCATGCCCGGCGGAAGCGCAAAATGCTATCTTGCGCACGGATGTCAATGGTGCTGCGCGAACGGCATCCTGAACATCAAGTACGAAGAAGAGAACTACTTCCTGAGTGGCGTGTCGCAAAGGCCAGAGGATAAGAAATATCTCCAAGCTTGGGACTCTCCAGCCTGGAACGGAGCTTGCCATTGTGGCTATCATCTTAGTTCGGATTTGACTATTGTTGCCACCCAGAAAAAGTGATGGCAGGGAACTGTCGAAGACTGAGAATTCGCGAGAGTTGAGGCTTAACTACATCAGTGCATGGCGACGATCAATTAAACAATAGAAGTACATACATCAATCTGATATTTTCTTACATGACTTTGATGCGCAAAGCACTTATATGCCAGAACTCTGAGTCCTAATTGAGCTCTGCGTAACTTCATGGTCCTAAACAGAGCTTATAACTTTCTGCTCACATCGAAGTTGCCACGCACGATGATTATGCGCACTTTCTCTCCAATTTGTCCCCGACGCCAATACTGTTGCGTTATCATCCATCTGACTAAAGTGATGCTGATTTGACTCCCGAAACCAAACGTCCGCTTCTGATTCTGGTGCCAGTGCGAGTATGACACGTCCCTTTTCGCCTTGCACTTCAGAATTGTTCCAGCCATGCATGAAAGACAAATTTACCGCACTTTGCTGGCTGTCTGGAGACCCTCGATCTATGCATTTGGTTCTCACTCGCATATTAAACTTGTCGCATGTTCTTGTGTGGAATTGCCCTTTACGGGTTCTCACATGGCCGGCGTCCCAGTAGAACTTCTCTGGCGAGGCGGTCTTGATGTCTTCGATCACAGCTTCTCGAGAATGAGGGAAGACTAGAACGAACCAGTCGGTATCACATGTGACGACGAAGTTGACAATACAATAGGTTGACTCCTCCGAATCGTCGTCCTCCAAGGAGAGTTCTCGTAGTATGCGAAAGGTGGACTTCCGCTTGTCGTCCATGTAAGCATATATTGCAGCATAATGAACTGCGCGCAAGTGAGGTGGATCGTTCTCCTCTGGGTCCGTCAGCCGTGCCACCAGCTCTACAGCTTGAGGGTATCCTAGGAATGCCGCAAATCGGAGAGGATGCCATTCACCAACGTGAACTTGGACAGTCAAGTGATCGCCGGTCCACCAGCCCACAGGCCTCGAAAAGAGCGACAGGTCGATCTTGTGTAGGGCGGACAAAGTTGCTGTGTCATTGGCAAGAATTGCTTTTCCGACAAAATTGAGCCCATCACTGCCAGTGAAAACCTCCAGACCCGTAACTTTCTGTAGCAGTATCAATCGCTTTACACGCTCAGACACTGCCCAATTATAGATCATGTCAGTCATCTTTGCTACGGCCGCGGTAAGTGTCTTCTCATTCGCGTTTGCCAGGCCGATAACATCTGCTGCCAAAGAAGGCACCAGTCTTTCCGACTGTGGAACAGTGACAACTGTTGCCAGCGTGCGTTGCAATAAATTGGAGAACAACGCAGGTCGTTGGGCCTTTCTTGAGATTCTGATCGCTCGGAGAATAACATCTGGGCCACCCAATTCCAGGATGCGAACCAGAACCGTCTTCCTTACAGTAAGAATAGTTGGCAGCGCGAAGCATAGCCCTTCGTCCGTGAGGAACTCTCTCAGAACATCGTCTGACTCGGAGCCAACGTCGTATAACGCATATTCGACCGGACTCTTGCCGTTCATATCAAGCAGGTCCACAGGATCCCATGTTCTCCCATTCATAGACGCAATCAGCAATTTGCAAGTCAGTGCTTGATCATTGCGTACAGCGCGATGAAGTGGAAGACCCCCTCCAGCATCCCAGGTCCAGAGCTGCTCTCTCCTCGACGGTGGCCCTTCGAGGTACTGAGAGATGAATTCCAGATCGCCCGAACTCGCCGCTTCATGGAGAGTACGAATGGCAGGCTTCTCCACAACCTCAAAATCATCGTCCAGATTTGCGGGAACCACATTAAGCCTCTTGATCTCCGCCAACAATCTCATCCTCGCCTTCTCCCTCCCCTCCCCATAAATAACCGGCATCGTAACATCAAAGAACCCCAACAAACAATAACTCTGATCCTCCTCCCTCGTCGTTTCTCTCTCACTCATCCACTCCAATTTCTGCTCCGCCCCAATCGCCCTCGCATACTCATAATCCTTCAGCACCGGCTCCGGAATTCCCGTGACACCTGCCAAAATCTCCCCCAACTCCGGTCCCATTGCCATTTGTTTCAACCCTTCCGTTCTAATCCCCTTATACCCCAGCACCTCCCACCCCCTCGTAACAAACACAACTGTCTTCGGCGCAACCAACTCTTGCAAAGTCCAACCTCTCGTAAACCACCTACTCCTCCCCAACATCCCCAAATCCCCTCCACCTTCCCTCACCCCACCAAAATCATCCAACCACGCAATACAAACCACCGCATTCCGATACCATTTAAACATACTATTCACAGCTTCTGAAACTTCCTCACTACTCTGTTGTAAGATACAACACGTATCGATCCATAACCATTCCACATTTCCCACATTTTTCCTGACAAAGTCTGCGAATTCCAAAACTTTTTTATACCCTGTGGAAGTTGTATTTCGCTTTTTTAGGATGTCTTTGTAGGAAGCTTCGTGGCCGAGGTGCCAGCGGTGGGAGGCGATGGCGTAGGGTGGTGGGGTGGAGTGGTAGACGGAGAATTCGAGGGTGTGGACGTTGAGGAGGCGCATTCTCTAGGGTATGAGGAGATGCTGGTGCGAACAAGGAGGGGAGAGAGTATTGGGAGGCATCCTTTCGGCGGCTATTTCTCGAGCTGAGGTGGAGGATGGGCTAGGAAGATGCTGTGCCTCGCTAGTGGACGTGGATTCGGATCCTCTTCGTGCAGGGTGAGGTGCAGCTTCCTTGATTAGTAAGCTTGGATGTTCAAAGTTTGTTGTGGTTGATGAGGATTTGATGCTGTACATGTGGAATATTTCTTCTTGGTAGTCAGATCTCAGAGCTGCACACGCAGCGAGAAGGAGAGAGGAACGTGGAGTAGAGATGATCGACGAGAGTGCGACTGTCTTCCAGCCATCTACACAAGTACATCTACTGCAACATCCCCTCCAACGACTCCCCAGTAACCTCCTCAATCTGCGCAATCCATCTCAGACACTCCCTCTCCACAACTCCCTCATCGTCCTCCTGCAACTCACTAATAAATGGCAACATCTCCGGCAAAGAGTTCAACCAATCAATATGCAATCTCTCAGTCAAAGATCTCTCCGCCTTGATAGCCGCCAGCCTGACAGCACTATTCTCATTCCGCATAAAAGTCATGATCAGCCCGTTCATGGTCTTGTGATGATCTTGACTGGAAACACATGCAGCAAGCTCCGTAATGGCGGGAATAACGTGCGAATTGACATCGTATGTGGCTGCGAGACCGAGGCGGGAGACGAGAGGCTTGGCGATCGCATCGAAGTGTGCGGGAGATTGCCAGAAACCGTCTTGGTCGTTGGAGAAGTTCGATGTCAGAGTGTCGAGGACAAGTTCGAGAAGCTCCAGCTCCTGTTCATCTCCAGTTGACAGTGTCGTGAGCAGAGATGCGGCATTCTCAAGCAAGAAGCTGGCATAGCTTGTGACCAGGCTCTTGAGTTGCTCGAAGAGGACGAGAGAGAAGCTGTAAAGGCTGGAGGTGCGGAGGAGAGCACCCTTATGGTCGGTCTTTGGAAGTCCTGCGAAGGCCCACTCGGTGAGACGAATGAAGAATGGCCGGAATGTGTTGTCGTTAAGCTTAAGCACAGCTTGCATGGTCGTGTCGTTGACCATATCGAAGAGCGACGACAAATCCTCGTCATCTTCGTCAGCAAGTTGTCGCCGCAGATCGAACGCAAGAAGAAGGATCTTGAAGAGCAGTTGCGCATTCTGTGCAATAGTCGCCTTGGTGTGATGTTGCACGGCAGTGTTGAGAGCGGTAACATGAATGCGAGCTGCATCGACATCATCTTCGGTTGCGATCTTAACAACTTCTGCCCAGGTACGCTCAATGGCGCCGAGGAAATCGTTGGCCGAGACCTTTCTTGCCGCGAGCGCAATGAATCGCTGAACAGTGTCCGCATCACTCTCAGCGGCAAGTACAAGAAGGCGGTCCAAGTACTTCCCGGACAGCATCCATGGAATGTGATCGAGAACAGCCATGGCAAAGCTGAAGCCGGCCACAAGCAATTCCATGTTAGCCTCGCCGTCACCTTCATGCAAGGTTTCGTGCATGTAGCGTAGCACGGTGTCGAACGTCTTTGGCAGAATGGGGATCATCTCGTCTCCCAACACCTCCACCATGCTCGCCAAGCACAAAATGGATATTCGGCGAAGATCATCATCTTTCTCGCCGAGTGCCGCATCGCCTGCAATCTCTTGCGCAACAGACATGACAGACGAGCGATCTGTCTTGCCAAACTTGTCTGCGATCCGATCAATGCAAGTGATGGCAGCGGTCCTAGTTGCAATTGGCTGACTGGACGCGACGAACAGAGCACAATTCGGTAGAACCTCGATGAAGACCTTTTGCAACGTTGCATCGCCGCGTCTTGCCGTTTCGACACGCTGTTCCAAAGACCAGAAGACCTGCTGGCGAATCTCGTCAGAGCCTGTTTGCATGAGCATAGCACTGGACTCGATGAAGTCGCTCGTTGGCATCAGACCGAGCAGTGCAGTCAGAACATTAGATGCGCTGTCCGAAAGATCCTCAGACTTGGTGACTTGCAGACCAAGCTGCATGGTCTTCTCCAGAATTACCGAGTATGTGTTTTGCAGTGACGAAGCGGTTTCTGCGCCCAGTTTCAGTTCCTTGGCTAGCTTTCGGCGAAGTGCTTCACGTGAGAGTGTGCTTGCAAGACCTTCCATGAGCACAATTGTCGAAGCCTTGGCTTGATCAGCATTCTTCTCACCATAGCCAAGGATAACATCGGACAATGTTCTCTTCGATTTCAGGGTGTCGAAGACGAGATCCAGGTATCTTCTGATCGCACCGAGCTCGACGGTCGACGGGAAATGGCTCATCAGGTCTGACACGAAAGGTAACACAGTGCTGTCTTCCGGATAACGCTCAATAAGCATAGCCATGATCGCGAAAAGGGACTCTTCTGGGCCGAGGGTCTGGACCAGATTGTGGAATAGTCCTGCTCGTCGATGAAGCGGGATGTGCTCAAAGGCTGCGGTGAAGCTCAGGAGCAACTCAGCAGATCCTGTGAGCAAATCTCGGCCCTTCTTCTTGAGGGATGCCGCCAGAGGAGGAATGATGCGCGCCACTGTCTGGTCGGTGACATGAGCGCTGTAATCGTCTCCCTGCTTCAAGATTGTTGAGCCCATAAACGTGAACAATGGCATGACGCTGTGAAGGACGAGATCTGGTGCCCAGGAAGCCAGAGAGGACATGAGAAGTAACGCAGACTGATGGACTTGTGTGCTTGAGGTGGTTCGCACACAGTCAACGATGAGATCAGCGCGGACAACTGAGCGGTCCACGTCCTTGTTCGACGCGTTCTTCAATCCCTTCACGACAGAGAGCAGGTTGTTGATCAGAAGTCCTTGCAGGTAAACCAGCTCGGAGTCCAGTAGCGTCTTGTAGTGCTGCAACTCGCTCAGAAGGTAAAAGAGACCCTTCAGCAACTGTGGATGCTGTTCAGCCTTTGACCCCTCTACGATTTCAAGCACAAGAGTGATCCGGCGAATCGCTGCATCAAGTTTGGATTTGTCGATGCTAGCGAGCTTCGAAACGTCAGAAGTCCGACTTGTTCGTTGCTTTTTGGCGGGAGTCGGATGGCCTTGCAGTTGCGCAACACTGGGTAGACTCTCCACCAGATGCACCAGTATTTCACTGGGCAGCGTCAAGTTACGCAGTGTTTCCACTGCTTGTGCCTGAAGTTCTTCAGAAGCCGTTGAGCCTTCGCCGCCAAGAGATAGATCCAGCAGCCAGTCTGCGACGTCAGTTTGCGAATTCTGCTTCATGTTGCGCCACAGTTGGCTCAGACGAGCAAATGCATACTGCGCACGGTCAGCGCCGTATTGTCCGCCAGCAAGATCCTTCGAAAATTGTAGTTCCTCGGTACTGCGATGGGTCATGTTGCTGACCAAGGCCTTGCAGAGGGCTGGGCTCGATGACTTGTCGCCCAATGCCTGCTTTGCATATGGCAGCAGTACTTGAACGCGGGTGTTGGATCCAGCGACCTTGCCGACTTTGGCCGTGACGTCCAGAAGGCGGAGTTTTACTTGCGGCTCAGGGGTCGCAACTACATGCGAGGCAAGGCAAGAATAAACACTTGCGCGCAGGGCCTGTTTCAACTCCTTGCGCTCGGCCTTCGTGGCGCCGTTGATCGTATCTGCCAAGTGCTGGAGGATATAATTTTGATCGATAACACAGTCTTCGAGGACCGCAACGATGCCATCAGCAATGAATTTGTGCGCATCGGCGGAGGACAACCACTGCACATTGAATCCAGCCGGGCCGTAAGCAGAGGGTTTCGCCCACACTGTCGATTCCTTGAGCTTCTTGACATCGTATGTGCTGTGCAGAGCAAGACAGGTGGAAGCAGCAGCGCTTCTCGCAGCCTTGACAGAGTCGCTAAGACCGGAGATAACATACGGAATCAGCAATTGCAAGTCGACTGATTGACCACTTTTGCGAACCTGCTCCAGCAGCTCTCGGGTGACTTGCAGCGCTTTGACTCGCACTGACGCGGGAACATCACTCGTCCATGTACGAGCAAGGAATGTGAGCATGGTCGGCTGTTGTGTCAGGCTCTTGCGAGCGAGAGAGGGCAGGCTGAAGAAGGTGGCCACATCCTGTTTCGAAGGCAATGCTGCCTGAAAAGCTGAACAGTAGTCTGCGAAGATGGCTGAATGTGCTTCGTCCAGGAATGAGAAGTTGGTGGAATCGATCTTGGGAAGGTCTTCAAACAATGCTTTGGTCTCGATGGCTTCCATATCGAATTGTGAGTCGAGCAACATCTGATCTCTCTCTTCGTCCCGAGTCTCGTCCCCGTCCGTCAATCTCAGGGTGAGGCTTCCGTCCAGTTCGGCGAGATTGATATTTGCTCTCTGAGCCGCCAATTGCAATTGCCGCGCCCCGTGCTCCTCCTCGGAGGCACGAGAAGCAATAGTGATGAGATCGCGTCGGCTATTGGCATCAGATTCGGCCGATGGGAGATCGGCAATCGCACGAAGCGTGCTCTCCAAGATATACACGGCGTGTGACTCGGGTAACGATTGTGAAGAGAGAATTGCTGGCAGCAGCTGCATCGCGCGTGCGTCTGACGTGCCCTTGATCAGGTCCAGAGCACCCAATGCAACTCCGGTGAGCAGATTATCCACTCTGTAGTTTCCACCCACTCGATCGAGAATCTCCAGTGCCTCTTCCTGCTGGAGAAGTGCACGGACTGTGCCTTTGGACAGAGTCAACTGTTCCTTTTCCTCTGCAAGCACCGAGAGACAGATGATGCCGTCCTCAATTGTCTGCTCGGTCCAACCGCTCGCCACTGCGTCCATGAGGGCATTCAAGGTAGCCTCACTGAGGTCAGCCTTGGTTGCCATGATGGTCATGATCATGCAACTTCCCAAATACAGCTCCGGCACACCCTGAATGGCGAATGCTCCGCGAAGGATGGGAAGCACTTTCATCAGCATATCCTCCTCTTTCTGCCTGCGAACTTCCTTCCTTCCGGAACGGGACGCATCGATCATATTGTTGACAGCCTGTGCGGTAATGCTGGCCCAGAATCCCAAAAGCATTGGCTGCTGGTACTTGAGCTTCGCAACGCCCAGCATATACTGGCTGAACGCGGAGAACAGAGCAGACTGGTTACTCGCAGCAGCCACGATGGCGTGACGAGGCGGATTCTGCAATGATGTGACATACGGATGCAAGAATCGGAAATTCGGCGGCAGCTGTTCGGGCAAGATCGAGAGGAGGGTCGGGAAAATATGCGAAGCGTGGTACGGCAGAAACGTGAACAGCACGGCCTCTGTGTTGTACTCTTGCACTCGGAACCTTCTGACGAGCCATTCCATGGCCTTCATCGCCGGCTTCAGCAGTAATCGTCCTCCAAGCAGCCCCAGAAACCGCACAATAACCGTATCCAGCTCTTCATTCTCTTGCACCGTCATATTCGTCCGATCCTCCGTCTTACTCTGCTCGCTGAACAGATTCCGCGCATACGGTCTGAATCGCTTGTCCAACTCGCATAACTCCTCGAATCCTTCCAGACATATTTGGTAGATGGTATCGAATTTTTGGGTAGCGGCATCTCGAGGTTCGAACAGTAGCGATTTACTGTGGCGCGCCTTTTGCGCTTTCAGGTCGAGCTGGTGTGTGCTGTTGGCCGCAATGGCGGCCAATTGCTGCTGCAGAGCCGTTGCCATGGCTCTTCCTCTTTCGCAGCAGCACTTCAAGCAATGTTTGCCAGATAGACGACGGATATTGGAACGTCGAAGAGAGTGAAGTTCATCTCGTGAACTTTTTTGAGCTTGCGCTTAAGGTTCTCCAGACTCAGCACTTTCGCGCGCACAAGTCGTGGGACTTCGGGCCAACCTCTTCCAACAACATCTCCGCCGCCTGCGTCTTCGTTCCATCACCAGGTAAGTGATATTTATCGTCGGCGTTACGTCTTGGAATGCACTCAGACTGATTTGATACAGATGGACAAGCCAGCAGTTCCGAAGTTCAGCAGTTTCAAGCCCAAGCCAAAGAAAGACTCCAAGCTTCAAGGAGATGAGGTACAGATAGACAGATCGGCGGGTGACGACCGCAAGGACCGGAATCGCAAATCTGAGCATCGAGAGAGACGTGACAGGGAACAAGGAGACTACCGAGAGCATCGAGAGCATCGGAATCACGAGTCACACAGATCACATCGCCACCGTGACCGCGACAGCCACGACAGATCACGACACTCTCGACACCGCGGCCAGGAACGTGGCGTTGAACACCGAGTGAAGGAGAAAACTTCAGATCATGGCGAAGTGACTGATCGACCTATTCGGTAAGTCACGGCACTTCTCACGGGCATTGAGCAGTCGACCACTTCAGTACAGTCTTCAATCTGCACACATTGCACTCTACGCGCAAATCAACTGCTTACGCTACCATATAGGGATGCAGCTTCACATCCAGATCTGGAAGAATCCGAGCTCTTCCTCGTCGATCGAAGAGGCGATTCGAAGAGTGTAGAATATGGCAGCCTCCATCGCTATAGTGTGCCTCCATACCGTCGCGTTGGCCATGGCAGAGTCCTTGGACTTGACGCCAACTTCAAAATCGATCGTGAGGCAAGCACCGACAAGGAGATCTCCTTGATGAATGTTCGGAAGAAGCGCGAAGGCGGTGATGCGCGAAGACTGCTCACCTCTCGCCATGGTCGACCAAAGGAGGGTCATTATCGATTCATCGTGCCAAGTGTGCCGGCAAAGGCCACGAAAGACGATGACTTGGGATGCGATTACGTGGACTTGAGATCTTCTCGCAAAAGGAAGCGTGATTCGGAGTCTCCGCAGCCTGGAGTCGACTATCGATCGATTGAAGGCAAGGCCAAACCTGGACCGGCCGACGAGGACCTGGCTCTTGATACGGACTCTGACATTGATGGCTTCGACCATGATCGGGATTTGGTCGCTCGGCAGCAGAATGCAGTACTATCAAAGCAGACAAAAGCCGCTCCTCGTGATGTAAAAGCATGGCAAGCTCTCATCAATCACCAAGCCAGACTTGTGAACCCGGGCAAAATGCTCTCAAGTTTTGCCTCATCTGAAAGGCGGACGCTCGCAGATTTGCGATTGTCGATTGTGCGTGAGGCACAAGCCAATATATCGAAAGATATGCCAGGCTACGAAGAACTC